AATACATTGATATTCAGTCTTTGGAGATACGCCACCAGGCTTGATTAAACAAACAAAAACTCCTGCCATTTTTAATTTCGCTTTTTTGAAGAGAGATCTTCAAAGAAGAGGAACGAGATCGTATAAAACCAATTTTTCAATTTAACTTTACTTAATCAAAGAAACTTCAACAAACAAGAAGAACACAATTTTGCTTTTTTGAAGAAAGTTCTTCAAACATCAGGAACGAGATCGTATACAACCAATTTTTTAATTTAACTTTACTTATTGACAGAAACTTCAACAAACAAGAAGAACGAGTTCGTATTCAATTTTTTATTTAATTTGTGTTATTAAATCAAGTGAGATCGAAGAATACCAGTTAGAAATTTTTCGAGCAACTTTCCAACACCTGGAAATAATGAAGTTGAATGAGATTGAAAGGATCAATTTGACTATCAAAACCGATTACATGAATGTTATGATTCCAAACTTACACCTATCAGACATCAGCCCCCATTTGACGACAATATTCAGCAAATACTTGTCTGCGTAAAGTGTCATCATTATCGGCAAGGACTTTGTTAAGTACCGCAGGTTGATCTTCCCAATGTTGTCGCTCGGCTTCACGTTCGGCTGCGTTGGGAAGACCGTAAGTAAAGGCCGTTCCTTCATTTTCCGCCAAAAGGAAATTGTGAAGCAGGCAACACGCCATCAAAAGAGCGTTTGCCCGCTTCATTGATCTTTCGTCTCGTAAAATCAATCGCAATTCTTTCATCATCTGAAAGCGCGATTTGAGCATTCCATTCACATGCTCAATGACCGTGCGTGCCTCACTAAGTTCTTTATTAAATGAATTTTTGAGGCCTGGAAGATCGCAGTCCGTGTTCCTCTTGAAGAGGGGGACAGTGCACCTGGAGGCACTGTACCCAGAATCCGCCACTAAATACTCTCCCTCGGAGAAGTAGCGTGCAGGTTGACACCAAAGCTAACAACATCATCAGTCACTTCAATGTCTTTGGCGAACCCAAAAAAAAACTTACTGTTGAAGTTCGGAGCACACGCTGGTCATGAACACTCCCACACCACCCGTGGCGAGCAAAAGTGATCCGCCGTCGATGATCACACACGATCATCGAGTTGAGACCATAGAAATACTTTCGGGTCCAGTAATCTTCTTTGCAGATGACTGGACCAAAAGCTAAGGGTATGAGTGTTCCGTCGACAAATCCTACGCATCCCTTCACAGCCGGGTGGTCCTCAGAGATCTCGTGCCTGATGACTGCGCGTTCCTCAGGGGATGGCCAGCTTAGATAATGAGGCTGCAACTCCAGGATCGCCGCTACACATCGCCATGTGTAGTTTTCTACACTCCCATCTGAACACGTTCAAAAGTCAGTTACCGAAACAGAAATACAATAATCATAAACAATGACCCACCTGAGACCCCTAATAAACGGCCGATTAGTGAAACCTGTCCGCCATTTCCGGAAAGACCCATGTTTGCTAGTGCAATCAAGAGTTGCACTTCGACTTTGGCTTGAGAATTGCTGGAAGAGTTTCTGAAAACTTGGCTATCTTGAATCTTATAAAACAGGGTAATGAAGCTTTCTTTTTTCATTCGCGCCTGACCATACCAGCAAAGCAGCCATTAGAAACAAATGAAAAACTCTAAAGAAAAGAGAGACCTTACCAATTTGATGAATATGTTCTCTGAAGCGTTCATAATCCCATTGAAGAGCTCGTGGGAATGATCTCGTTGGCGGAGGGTTCTGGAAGTCAGGTATCGATGATTTTCGACACGTTCCAGTTCCGCCAACCAGATTTCGACTTCGTTTTTCTTTGAATCAAAGTCTTCAAGCTTTTGTTGTGTCGTTCTAGTTTTGAGCAAGAAACCCAAAGTTAAGCGAGTTTGTGGTGTAAGTGGAAGATCTGGTAGTAATTGAGGCAGGAGGAGCATAGTTGATAGCGATCTCGAGGTGTGTGTTGGGGAGCTTTGCTGAGATAAAGGGTGTTTTGTCTTTGCGATGAGCAAGGAGGTGGCGTGATACCTTTCTCAGCACTTGTAGGACTTGAGGTCGGGCTGAGACTCGCGGCATCTTGATCTTGAGTTGTGAGGCAAAGGCTTCTTGGAATCGAGGTCTAGAGGAGCTTTCAAATATTCCGAGAAGTGTCAAGAAGTGACATCTATAAACATCTTCGAGGTGTCCGAGAAGTTTCTAGATGTCACTTCTTGGCACTTCTCGGACCGGTTTCTCGAGTTTTGAATACCATTACTACAAGAATAAATTGATTTTCCGCGAGGAATTTTGGTTTCAGATTCACGGAAAATCACGTGATCACTGTACATCGTGTACAGCGCTGTACACCCCATCCCGTGTACACCTTCTCCCAGACGTGTGCCAGCGGGTGCCACGACTTTATTGTCCAACGTCTGTACACCAACCAAAACGGGCTGAGCCGTCAGCAACTCAGCCGTTCCCAAAACCTCAAAACGACGTTTTTGGCAAAATCGAAACAACGCTTTTGGCTGAAACCGTCGCAAACGTCCGTTTTGCGCATCGTCTTCACGGTCACCCATTCTCGATCATCCCACCAGCTCCTCATCATCATCATCATCACCCAACATCTATATCACCAACATGTTCTCAATTCCAATCTCAGGACACTCTAGGTTTATCATTAGATCTCATTGATCATTCTCCTCTTCTCAAGCATATCGTAATGTTTCAACCCTTGTCTTTCTCGACCACAAGTCTGATAAAATCAATTATGGGACTTTCAGTGCATTAAATTTAGCTAAACCATTAGGAGGAGGTATAACTGGGATCATTGTAGGATCATCAAGCTCAAGTGAAATGAATGAAGCAATTGAAAAAGCCAGGGAGTCGGTCCTTTCCTCTTTTTCTCAAGCGCGAGAAATGAATTCGATAAATGAAAGACTGATTCTATAACTTTATGATCTTAGATTACCAATTTTAAAACTTTTAGTAAAAGAACACGATGATCTTCAACGCGTCCTAGCCAAACCATTAGGGCGGTTCAAGAAAGCTTTTTACAGCCAAATTTTAAATTTTAAATCCGTATCGGGAGCCTTAAATTTCAAGTAAAATTTGAAGTTCGTGGACCACCTTTAGAGGTGGTTCACTAGGGCGGTTCAAGAAAGCTTTTTACAGCCAAATTTTAAATTTTAAATCCGTATCGGGAGCCTTAAATTTCAAGTAAAATTTAAAGTTCGTGGACCACCTTTAGAGGTGGTTCACTGTTTTGCGATCTCATAAATTGCCTTAAAATTTATAAATCATTTTGCACAAACAGGAACATCTGAGTAAAAAAAATACCACTTTGTTTTTTTTTAAAAAATTGAGTCGTCCCTGGATGTAACGTTTTTTTGTCGAAAAAAAAGTAGGGATTTTTTTCTTTCTCTTTCATTAACAACATATTTGAACAAGAACGGTCCAAAAACACATCATGCCCCCCATCGACAACGGCCGCGGGTCGGATCTCTTTGGTTTATGCTTTTTTGGTTCTGCCCAAAGTACTACTCACGTCAACACCCTCCGCTTTGACTCATGCTCTCTCATCTCAAAATCTGGAATCAAACTTTTGCGGTTTTGGAACGATCGTATCAGGACGGGCACGTCAGCTTTGGAGCTTGGCTTTTCTTATCAATTCAGGACTCACATGATGGCGGCTTCGGAACGAATGAATCAGGACTTGCACGTTGAAGAGTTTGGCTCTAGGCCTTTGTATATATGCCTTTGCATGTCGAAGACGCGATCGGTCTCACGATTTCACCAGCACATCAGCACTATGATCACGCGCGGATTTGTTATCATATCATTTCATCAGACGGAAGACGTCTTCAAACATCGAATACTTAAGCCACAAATGGCTCCGGTTGTCTTCTTGTCCTCTTTGCTTTGGGACTTCACCTATCTTCTCAATCATTATCTCTATCATTGGGCTCTTCCGTGGACCTTATATCACATTATCCTTCCCTTTGAACAATCTTTTGTGAAATTCTCTCGGTGGATCTTCCATTCTGTAATTGAAGTCTTTCTCCAGATGCCTTCGAGATCCCAGCCAAATGGCAAGGTTGGTATTTGCCCATTTTTATTTTGTTCTTACTTTCTATTAGGATTCTTTTCTAAGCGCTTACCAACCTTTGTTTGACCGTTGGTAGGCACCCAGGGCTCGCCGAACTAGAGCACAGATTCATGCCGACTTGATCGCTTCCGGCCAACCGGCGGCCTCCAAACCGACTGCGGCTGCTGTCAAACGGTCCCGACTGGCAGCTGAAGCACGAGCTCGAGGCGAATCTGAGGCGCAATCCGGTTCTGCCAAAGCCACCAAGGACAGTCCGCCGTTAGATCGAATCGATTATCAAACGGTCATTGCATACCTATCCAAACCAAGTTTTCGTAACGCTCTCTTTGGTGGCGGTAGTCAAACTCGGGTCACTGGACTACCTATGGGTCCCTCAAGTTTGTTAACACCCCTCGCCCTCAAGATCAACAATGATTACAATATACGCCACAACACCACCACCATGCGTTTGACTGGAAGAATTTTGCACTTGCGTCTCAAACGCTACAAGAGCAAGTACATGGCTGCGAAGAATTTCACTCGAGACACCGGCAGTGGCCTCTCTGCAAAGAATCGGGCGGATGGCATACACAGGATGGCGGACTTACTCGAATCCATGTGTCCTTGTTACAAGGAGATGGATGCGATCTTTCGTGACAGAGGAAATGTGACTGCGTTCGGCATTCTCGACAGTGGTGTAGGTCCGCAAGGTGATGATTCCGATGACAGCGAAGAGGGATTGGTTGCTGGCATCCATGATGATAGTGACGGAGAACTTACTGACGGTCATGACCATAGTAAGTTTTTGTTTCATCTAACTCTCTTTTTTTGTTCGTTTCGTCTTACGTCTTATCTAACTGAAATTAATCGTTGCACACATCCAACGCTCATTCCAGGCCATCCTACAACCAACGATAGTGCGCTTGAGGCTGATGTTAATGACGGCAATGAACATAGTAAGTTCTCATATTATGTTTTCACTTATGTTTTCACTTGTTTAGATTGCTTCATCTCGTATTCTTGGTTGGTATTTGTCTAACTTAAATCTCTTTTTGGACATTCCAGGGCATCCTGAGAACGACGATGGCCATTCAAGTGCACAACTGGAACCAAACACAGTCCTGAAATCTCCCAACGAGGCTCATATCACCCCAGAGGTTCCAATCAACAACGAGCTAAACAATCACTATCGTGATTTCATCAACGACAGATTCAGTTCCCCACCACCGACCCCAGACGACCCAAATGACGGTTTCCCAGCCAACCGATCAGCACCTAACCGTATTCCTACCCCTTCTGAATCTACCTCTGCGGTTCGTCAAGCTCACAAGAAACCGACTAAGAAGCGTGTTTCCAGAGTACCTCTGACGGCTGAAGAGCGTGCTCTCGACGATTCCGACCACAATGATTCAAATGAAGATGAACCAAACCATCCTGTGGCTCCTCGCTGTATGACTGCCCCTTCTCAAGCGACCGCCTCGGTTCGCCAAACTCACAAGAAACCAACTAAGAAGCTTGTTTCACGAGTGCCTCTGACTGCCGAGGAACGTGCTCTCGACGATTCCGAAGACGACCCTCTTGCCAATGAAGAAGAACCAGCCACGCGGGCAGGGACTAAACGCGGAGGACCTCGCTCAACCCTCTCGCGCCGTGGGTTAGACCCCCTTCCTTCAATCGACCCGTCTCACGTTCAAAGCAAAGAACATAAACACGCCCTCGCCACCGCGATCCAACAAGGCAATGAGGCAAGGCTTGAAATGATTTCCAAAGGAAATGAACTGTATCAACAAGTCGAATCTACCCGAATCAAAGCGGAACTTGATGCGCGAGCTTCAGACCTCAGCTGGGCGAAAGAAAAGTATTTTCTTGACCGTCAAGAGCAGCGTGAGGCCGAAGCACGAAGATTGTCACAAGAAGCCCTAAAGGAACGACAAGGATTTTGTGAAAGATTAATGAAAGAAGGGAAGTCCCCGCAGGAGCTTGAAGCTTACCTCGCGCTGGTATATCCAGCGCAAGAATGGGTGTAAGTGTTGCCTCCCAATCGATTTATTTTTTACCAAAGATATTTTATTCTGACAACGCTGACAACATGTGACCCTTCTTATGTAGGTAAATCAATCCAGTTCCGTTCTCGCTTTAGTCATTTCCTCTTCCTTATGTTCAGCGTTTCTTTTATGTTTGTCTTATGATCATTTCCTCTTCCTTATGTTCCAGCGTTTCTTTTATGTTTGTCTTATGATATTTGTACGCTTTCCAAATAGGAAACCTTGTCTCAGTTTGATTGTTATGACTTGTTCACTTGTTTTCTCTTCTTGTCTCAGTTTTAGTTTGGTTGTGGTCTTCATTGACTTGTCCACTTGTTTTCTCTTTTTTTTTTGGATCGGGTTTCTTTTAATTCCTTGTTTCTTTTAATTTCTTTGTCTTTTATTTCTATTCTTTTTTGGATCGGGTTTCTTTTTGTCTTTTAGTTTGTTTGTCTTCTTCATGTGTACACTTTCCAGTTGGCTGGTGGCGTCTGCAATGAAAGAGGAAGCAACATTTTCTGTTAAGAACCGAAGTGGTTCGCAGCTGCTTCTTAGCGTTCATGAACAACAGTAGTGCAATCAGTCATGACATTAGTCGCTGAAAAAAGCTACTATGCTTGATCGACACTCAATGAGATGAGATGACAGTTGGCGCGTTTATGATCATTAAAATGCACACCAGCCTGAATCAAGCAATAAGATTTTCTACGTATGGTCAATTGCACAAAATGGAACATCCATGAAAGCGAATTTTACCAATTAAGAACTACTAAGAAGACAAACCCCATCTGAAATGGCACAAAAAGAGCAGAACAACCAAAGTAACTGAACCAAAACAGATCGAGCTCAAGAATACATAAGTAAAAATAAAAGTCACCAATTTAAACTGGAGCGAGAGAAAGAATACATAAGTAAAAAATAGTAACCAAACCAAAAAGGAGCGAGAGAAAGAATATAAGTAAAGGTCAAGAAACAATTGGTAGGCCGCCGCTCATCCAGTTGTAAGCAACTGCATGGTCTCGAACCATTTCGCGCTTTGCCCGGCCTTTCTCCAGTTCAGCAGCATCTGCGGCTTCTCCAGCTCGCAAGTGTCCGGCTTCACCTCGTTCGGGTAAAAGCATGTCATCATCCTCTTCATGCCACGCATTTCCAAGGTCCGCCAGCATATTGTGTAAGATGACACAAGCCCGGATCCACCTGAGAATGTGGGCATAAAGACAAACCCGAAAAAGAATAGAGACTTCAGAGAGGAACAGCGATTCCTAGGTTTCGTTTGGAATGGAGCAAAGCACACTGTGAGGCTGCCGAAAGATAAACTACATCAGAGGAGGACACAGATAAAAGAATTCTTAATAGAAGGGAAGGACTGGAGACTCTCACAGGTCGATAATTTTGTAGGGCGATTGGTACACACGGTGTACATTGTGCCGCATATGGCACCTTACCTGAGTTCACTCTATAGGTGGAAGAAAGAATGGAGGAATGAACATGCAAGCCGTAAAAACCCCGCGGATGTGGTGGAAGATCTCAAGGAATGGGACGCTTGCCTTACTTCCTTCGACGAGTGTACGATCGCGCCCAACCCGACTCCGGAAGAGGTGGGTTGGGTAGGTGATGCGGCCTCAGCCTATGGGTGAGTGGTGCACTTGCATGAAAGGCGGAATTGCCTCAGTTCACTGACTTCGCTTGGACATGTTTATTCGGGCTCACCGCGGATGACCATCACTCGTGTGTGGGTACACAGAATAGGAGTGCTAATAGGCCGACATTGGGCCTGCTTCAAATTTGTGCCTGATTGGGAAACGAATGGATGGCGCGTTTATGATCATTAAAATGCACACCAGCCTGAATTAAGCAATAAGATTTTCTACGTATGGTTAATTGCACAAAATGGAACATCCATGAAAGCGAATTTTACCAATCAAGAACTACTAAGAAGACAAACCCCATCTGAAATGGCACAAAAAGAGCAGAACAACCAAAGTAACTGAACCAAAACAGATCGAGATCAAGAATACATAAGTAAAAATAAAAGTCACCAATTTAAACTGGAGCGAGAGAAAGAATACATAAGTAAAAAATAGTAACCAAACCAAAAAGGAGCGAGAGAAAGAATATAAGTAAAGGTCAAGAAACAATTGGTAGGCCGCCGCTCATCCAGTTGTAAGCGACTGCATGGTCTTGAACCATTTCGCGCTTTGCCCGGCCTTTCTCCAGTTCAGCAGCATCTGCGGCTTCTCCAGCTCGCAAGCGTCCGGCTTCACCTCATTCGGGTAAAAGCATGTCATCATCCTCTTCATGCCACGCATTTCCAAGGTCCGCCAGCATATTGTGTAAGATGACACAAGCCCGGATCCACCTGAGAATGTGGAACATATCACTTCTATCGTTCAACGCCAATCGTAGTCCTTGAAGCGAAGCCCATCGGGACTTCAAGATTCCGATGCAGTGTTCATTTCGGACCCGGGCCTTTGCCACACACCAGTTGAACTCTTTGTTCCTCTCGACCTCGGCCGCCTGCCCTTTATAGGATGGGACCACAGTTTCTGACGGAGTGTAGGCTGAGTCGGCAATGATGTATTGTTCTGAACAAGACATAATCATCAGCCAAAATGACCTTGGGTCTGTGAAATCCTTTGAAAACGTACCATTTGAAAAGAATTTATTGGGACGCTTCGCAATCTCAGTCTTAGAATAGACTGTGCTGTCACAACACGAGCCTGGCCAACCAGCGTAGGCATAAGTAATGTGCCTGTCGCAATCACAGACAATCTGGACATTGATCGAATATCGATGCTTCCTGTCGAAAAAGACCTCGCCATCGCGACCAGGGCGTTGAAAAAGCGGAATAGTTGTTCCGTCCACAAAACCGACACAGCCCGCGAAGCCATCTCGCGCTAGCACATTGGAGATCGCAATTCGTCTGTCGGAATTAGGCCAAGTGAGGTAGTGAGCGCCGACGTCTAGAATAGCGGTAATGACACGGCGAGTACAGTTGATGACAGACCCTCTTCCAACCTTGTAGTTCCTGGCAAATCTCCCTACTGAAGCGCCGTTACCATTACTCCCAAGGCGTTCAAGTGTAATTGCTAGCTGTTTTTTGACCGGAGGCTGTTGATGGTTTCCCCCAGAGATGAAAACATCGTGTGATTGAATCATGAGAAGTAGGGCATTGAACCCTTCTGGAGTGGTTCGCATGGCCTGCCGGAAGTCAGTTCGGCGAGCTCGTAACATATCGCGTAAGTCGAAGGTCAATTGGAAAGGGACCCGGAGCCAATCTTGAAGATAACGTCTGGAGATGACGTGTGCGAGAAGCTCGCCCCACTCTTGTTCAGGATCGAAAACGGCATTGTACAAGTTGGCCATTACACGATCATTTCGGTAGATTAGTTTGCCTTCGGTTGGGTTTTGAAGATTGTGACCTTGGCCAGGCATGCGTATATCGGCCTCGAAGTGGGCCATGACACATAGGTTACTCAGGTCACGGATCACTGAAACTCGATTGGAGACGCGAGGCATTGAGAAAGAAAGTTGATGGTAAGTGAGGGAACCAAGAAAAAGTTGATATCTGGTGAGGGAACGTAGGAATCAAGTTGGATGAAGGGGATGTACCAGAATCTCGTTTTTGGCATGAACCACCCACGATACCCCTTTTTTTTCCAAAAAACCAAAAAAAAACCTCGAGAAGACAAAAAAAAAATGTTGGATCAAAGAAAACAGTTGACCATGGCGCTTTGTGATACGTTGTACCTGAAAATGGTCAGCTCTAAAAACTTAAAATAGAGGTGTTTGCGAGTCTGCGATCAAGGATTTTAAGGACTGTCAGCCCTTAAAATCCTTGATCGCCAACCTGCGTGCAGGGTGTTCGCAAAACCCTTCTTGAACCGCCTTATTTGCACCACTGATCGCAAAGGTGACCAAAGAAAGATCATTTACTCATCTAGTGGGAGGCACAACTTCAGTGACAAAGAATATCTTTCTATGAGTCACCACTCTTCTAGACGTTCAAAAAATCTCAGATGTGATGATAGTCATTGACCAAGAAACCTTTATGCGACCGATCTGCGCTGGAAATGCATCATGTATCTTAAAGACTCAAGATCCTATCAAAGTCATTACAGCTTGTTGTGCAAGTTTTGAACCAATCACTAGTATATCAGAAGGAGAAGTCGAAGTGGAGAAACTAGAAAGTATCGAATCTGGAAAAATCGTATTGCAATGGAAATCCAAATCCCTAACAAAATCTGAAAGACCTGAATTACGTTCAGCAAACCGAATCGTATCCGGAGGAAGAGGAGCAAAGAACAAAGAAAACTTGGACAAGATTTTGATTCCATTATCCAATAAATTAACTTCAGCAATTGGAGCATCTAGAGCAGCACTAGATAGTGGATTTGCTGATAATTCTTCAAAAGTTGGTCAGCCTGGTAGAGTCGTCTCTCCTGAACTTTATATTGCTGTAGGCATCAGTGGTGCTATTCAACATTTGGCTGGCATGAAGGATAGTAAAACTCTTGTGGAGATTAATAAGGATCCAGAGGCTCCTATCTTTCAAGTGGCTGATGTAGGCTTAGTAGCAGATCTTTTTGATGCGAGTCCGTGAGTTTTTCTTCACAATCATAAGCAATGTTTGTATACTCAAGATCTATACTGATCTTCGGTGTTTGGGTTTAGTTTAGTGAGTTGAGAAAGAAGATCTAAGTAGAGTCAGGTTATGCATGTAAGATGTGATTTATCCTTCCGAACATCAACTCATGAAGTTGTACTAAGATCTTAAATTTGCATAAACCTTTTTATTGCATTTCCATCTTGTTCCGTTCTTTGTTGAATTTTATTTTATTTCAAATCGAGCTTAGTTACTTATTGTATCATTGTATCATATTTGAGTGTCCCTTTTAGATCAGAGTTGGTTTTGTGGACATGTAAGGTGACCCTTTACATGCTTCTCTCAACGCAGACTTCGGTCACAACAGTCTCTTTTCTTAGTTCTTGTTGATCTATAGTGAGAATTCAATTTGATTCATTATAGAAAATACAAAGGCTCTTGGTACACCACATCACAGGTCTGTGTGACCCGCATTTGTTACTCCCATCATTCATTCTTGACATCCACTTCTCTTCGGAGAGAGTGGGGCATGCGTGTTGATTTCTTAAACCGGAATAAACACACGGTGGGGGTTTTTCACGCATCTGGGGTGCATGAAACTGCTTTGTCTCTATCACATAGGGTGATAAGCAATTAGGTAAGACTTGCCTAGCGCCAGAAGGCGCTAGGTGAGGTTTACCAGCGGTGGGTGAAACCCTGGGCCTCTTAGGACCCTTGGCGAGGCGCTCCGCAAGGTTCGAAACCGTACGTGAGGCTCGCCGAGGGGACCGTCAGACGTCTGACGGTCAGAGGCGCGATAGAGAGAGGGGGAGGGAGCTTCTATCAACCGGGCGGGAGGAAGTTTTGCGAAAAACCGGGAGTTTGAAAAAGAGAGATGCCCCTCGGGAAGAGCTAAGGGTGAATAGCAAGGGAGTGCGAGGCAGAAGCTTCTACGGAGAGGCGTAGAGACAGGATCTTGTGAGAAGCAAGAATCAGACGAGCCGGAAGGTGGGTGCGAGGAGACGACGAAAAGGTTCTTCTTAGGAGTAACCTTCAAGGCACAAAACATGGTTGCGTGCTCTTCAGCTCGTGCGTCAGGTACGCTTCTCAGCAAAGGCACACCGGCCACTGACGGGTGGCTGATAGCCGGTAGGTGGCCTGGGGCTGTCACCCTTAGTCTCCTGCTGCGTGGACCGAGGTTATTCCTCGTCCCTCGTCAAAACCAACCATCAAGGTTTAGAGAACAGGCCACTCATCAGGGGATGAAAGGTGTGTATCATGATGACTGTAAACGCAGTTACAAAAGTGGGATTGAATCAAAGGGTCCATCGAGACAAAGATGGATGAGACATATCGCGGTATCAGTTCGACTGAGAATGGTCCCAGTGGTGAGGATGTGAGCTGTGGACTTACCAGCACACCTATCCGGACCTTTGGAGCTGGTGGGATGATCGAGAATGGGTGAAGACGATGCGCAAAACGGACGTTTGCGACGGTTTCAGCCAAAAGCGTTGTTTCGATTTTGCCAAAAACGTCGTTTTGAGGTTTTGGGAACGGCTGAGTTGCTGACGGCTCAGCCCGTTTTGGTTGGTGTACAGACGTTGGACAATAAAGTCGTGGCACCCGCTAGGACCCAGGAATGCGCCTACAGAGGTATCTGATGAAACCTGTTTTTCAGTTTTTGGGCTCTACACAACACACCACTCCTTGTCTCAAGGTCCAGAGCACTTCAAAAGATGCGCATGGACTAGGGCTATCAAATGAGCCTACTCCCAGCCTCTCAACTCCCCTCACTTTCGCGCAAAATCGATTGGCGCAATTTTTTTTCGTGCCTCCAAGGCCTGATTCCGACGTTCGATTTTAAGGCTCTTTTTGACCGTTACATCCCATTATCTCAGGAAGTATTGGTGCTATGAGGTTGAACGCTAGCTTAAACGAAAGCCTTCAATGTCACGCACATTTTGCACTACTGTAGGTGCTGTGAATGTGTCGTTTAGTGCCCTAAAAACCCGCCAACAATACGTCGGAATTTACATCAGATACCTCTGTAGGCGCATTCCTGGGTCCTCACCCGCTGGCACACGTCTGGGAGAAGGTGTACACGGGATGGGGTGTACAGCGCTGTACACGATGTATAGTGATCACGTGATTTTCCGTGAATCTGAAACCAAAATTCCTCGCGGAAAATCAATTTATTCTTGTAGTGACTTCAAGGGTTTAGCGCAGGAAGTGAAAGTAAATTGTACCCTAGCTACTGAGTACAAGACCTCTCACACCATCCTCTCCAGTTTATGTGCAGCGCGCACGATTTGCTTTTGGTTTTTTGATTTTGAAGCTTTTTGGTGGCGGAATCGTGTTGTTTGTGATTTTGTTGTTCGATCACGCCTTTTCATGAAACAACACCATGTGAAATTATCTGAAGTCGTAGAATTTTGCACACTTGACTTTGCTCTCCGATCCTGATATTTCCAACCTGGTCAAGATACTCAATTTCTCAAAAAATCAAAAGAGGAGCGTATGAAATTTCGAGAATCAGTATTGTGTGAAACAGCTTGATGCATCAGAGTCGCATCGCCTTTGAATGTTCATCGCAGGCGTGGGTCTGAAACTGCAATGCGAGAGCGTCTTGTTTGAAGATATCTACACGGGAAACTCTTTTGTGCCTTCTGTGCCCCTGTTCGCTTTGAAATCAGGACGGACAAGAAAGGCATCGAAGACCAGATTGGCCCAAAATGGCATCTCCTTCGTTCGCTCAAAGCTTTCAGCAAATCAAACATAGAATATCAAGCTAACCTATTGCAATGCCCGTGCAATGTATTATTGCGTACCACATTTACTGGCTCGTTCATAGTGAGCAAAGGGACATCGGAGAATCGACACCGCGCGTCCCCGATGCAAGCAGCGGCACCGCCATTGACGGCTGGAAGTGAAGCCTGCTTTTCTCCGTGGGATATACAGTCAATTCAGAGCTTGTCGCAAATTCCCCGCCAATTTGCTGGAGTTTTGCGGGCAACTTTGGTCAAGCTTTTGTACAAAATTGACCGTATAGGGTTGATGCTTTGAGAGGATGATCGCGGGCCAAATTGTTTGGTTTCGGTCTTAATAAAATTGTAGAACTCATCAATGAGTCATAGTAAATGAGACTTGAGCGATATGACGTCATTGTTCGGCTTTGGCAATCGACCAAAGCCGGTGGTCATGACGCAAAACCGGTTTGAGAGTTGAGATTCAAGAAAGGAAATTATTGATAAAGAACATTACAAAAGACTTCACCTTTCTTCCCCTTTCAAAGCCAATCAGCCGACTACTTATTTCCATCCTTACTCTCCATCGTCTTCATCTCAGTCCTCACACACTTTTACTTACCTCACCTCAATTCAAACCACCCAATACTTCCTTAACTTCTTATCTCAAACATCATGCCTACAAACACTTCAGACAAAGCTGGGGATATGGTTGGATCTTTCACTTTATCTCGTGTTGACCCCACAGAGACACCTATCAAGAATTATTAACATCGCTTTGATGTTCTACTTTACGTCTATAGGCCAACAATGTATCGAAAGATGCTCAAAAGAAAGCAGGTCAAGCTAGTGACCAGGCCCAAGAATCTGGAAAAGTACGTTAGATTGATTATTGATAGAGATCACCCAATCTCCTTTCTCTTCTAACTTCCAAACCTTTCGGGCCGAAATTGAATTCTTCCTACTTGAACTTTCGTACCAAACTATAGGACCTTTACAACCGGGCCGCTTCTTTAGCTTCTGACGCGGTTGATGCAGCAAAGGAAACTGCTGGTGTCGCTCAGAAGAAAGGACAGGAAGCTACTGACTCCGGTTCAAGTACAGTCGACAAAGCCAAAAACGAAGCCAGTTCTGCAAAGGACAAAGCGGGCGACCAAGCCAACTCAGCCAAAGACAAAGCAAGTGATCAGGCTGCCTCAGCAAAAGAGACCGCTGAGAGCAACGTTTCCTCAGCGAAAGACAAGGTGAGCGACAAGCTTAACGGATCGTCATGTGTATGATGTCTACTTTGAGTTGCATTTGACTGAGGCTCTCTGCAATAGACCCAAGAGCTTACCGATGAAGCCAAATCTAAAGCTGGTGACGCAGCAGACACCGCAAAGGCACACGGAAATGTAAGTTCTCATTTTCTGCTGTGTTCTATGCATGCGACTCATTTTGCTACTTGATATTTTTCAGAGCCTAATCGAGCAGGCTACAGCTCTAGCATCGAATACAATTCAATACGTCAAAGAGACTGCCGGTCTTGCGCAAACTAAGGCGGCCGAAACGAAAGACAAGGCAGTATCGGAGGCAGACAACGCGA